CAAAGTCGAACTGGTCGATGTAATACATCCATCGACCGATCGTACTAGTGACCGTATCCTGCGTTTTGTAAAAGGTCAACGGGTTGTTGTTCGTATTCCATTTAAAACTCCGACGGCCGAGAAGAAAGTGGCGCCACCGTTTGAGAACGGTGACGAACGCGAGTAGCTCTTTCTTCCTAGCGTCGTCGAGAGTGTTTACGAGAGGCACCTTTTGGGAGAAGTACTCGACCGGATGTCAACCGTCCTCGTGACAATGTTCCAACACCGCACCAATACCGTACTTCGAAGCGTCCGTAGTCACTTGGGTGGGAAGGGTGGGGTCATATATACGGAGGGTAGGTGCGGCTTGCATTGCTGCCTTCAACGTAGCGAACGCGTCACGGGCTACGTCGTCGAACTCGAAGGGCACCTTCGGGGACTGGAGTCTCGACAAAGGAGCGGCCACTTTCGAGTATGACTCGACGAATCGCTGATAGTATCCATCCAATCCCATGAAAGAGCGTACATCCGTCGTGCAACGGGGTTCCGGCCAATCCACGATGGCTTGGATCTTGTCCGCTAAGGGACGAATGCCTTTCGGCGTGACAAAATGACCCAAGTACTAAAGCTCTTGTTTGGCGAATTCGCACTTGTCGAGATTCACTTTGTACTTGGCTAGTCGCAAACGATCCAGAACATCGCGAAGGTGTACGATGTGCTCGTCCAACGTCCTACTGTAAACCAAGATGTCATCAAGGTAGATGAGGATGCTGTGATCGAGCAAGTCGCGAAACTCAGTCGTCATCTCTGCTTGGAAAGTCGCGGGGGCATTGGTGAGGCCAAAGGGCATGACAACCCACTCGAAATGCCCGTACCGCGTCTTGAACGCGGTCTTGTACCGGTCTTGAGGCTGGATTTCGATCTGGTGGTAACCTGACTTCAAGTCCAACTTCGAGAAGTACGTCGCGCCGCCTAACCGCTCAAGAAGATCATCAATCCGAGGGAGAGGGCCGGCGTTCTTTACGGTTTGTACGCTAAGTTTCCGATAATCGATGCATAACTGTAGATCTTTGTTCTTCTTCCGGACGAAGAGAACAGGGGCACCGTATGGCGAGCAACTAGGGCGAATCCAGCCCTTGTCGAGAAGGTCATCGAGTTGTGCGCGAAGCACCTCGAGTTCCTCTTCGCTCATGCGGTAGATACATCCACGCGGAGACGTATGGGCCGATCCGGCCGTTCGGTTGGGAGCCTCGAAGACGTCTCTATACTCGTCCAAGAGGTGAGAAATGCGTGGGTCCGGCGGTGACGCGGCTGGTCCGTCCGGCGAGGGGAGAGCATGCAAGAATACAAGGCCCATCTCCTCGACGTTATTCCGAGCAATGGCGTCGCGAATTCTTGCAACGGAAACCACGTGACAAGCAATCGAAGTGTGAGGGGTCGCGACCGTACATGGGACTAACACTCCGTTCCAATCACAGATGTGAACGGTTCGGTCATGAAAGTTCACCGGATGATCGGCGCTACGCAACCACGACATGCCAAGAATCATGTCGAACTTGGTGTCGGGGATGTCGAAAGACACCGGCTCGCACGCAAGTGGCGCAAAGTAKACCGGAACGCCGTCAACGCATCGGTCAACTGACTTTTGCGTGCGACCGTCCGCGAGTGTGACTTGCGTGGGTTGCGTCTTCCTTCGAACGCGCGAGCCAAGGCCTGCGCGGGCCATAAAGGCTTGGCTCATAAAGTTGCGAGACGCTCCTCAATCAATCAAGACACTACAGGTTGCCTTTCCGATTTGAATGCGGATATAGAGCAAAGGCGCGTCGGTTTCAGCGTACCTTTGGGTGGCGTACTCGCGGTCAATCTTCGCAAGATAGGAGCGGAGATCGACAATCGCTACCCCGTCGTCCGTCAACGGAGCTGGTACTGTAGTGTGCAAATAAGAGCGTATATCTACCATCAAGGCGTTGCAATGCGGCCTTGGCAAGGTTCCGGTCGAGGGTAGAGGCATCCAAGCGAAGTCCTCTCTCGTGAGCGGGTCAAGCTCCTCAAGTCTTGACCACGCCGTCGAGTCCTCGGAAATCAATGGCGAACTGACCGGATCACTTTCCGACGGTGTACAGGCTGCGCATACGCTAGCTAAATGCACGTGGCTTGGCTGGTCTAATGGTGGTACCAGCTGGGCGACATAATCCTCGTACGTAGCACAAGAATCAGCGACTAACGCATACTCCCCGGTAGTGACATCGATTGCTAGCAAGGCAACCGGTTCCGGCGGAGTGAGGAGAGACGTCGCCCCTCTCCTTGCGTAACTCAGTGTCCCGAGTTTGCTGGACGGAGTACGTGTGCCTTGCCCTTTTCGGGGCATTGTGCAGTCAAGTGTGTGACTCCATTGCACCAAAGACAATATCTATACTTTTGACGAAGTTCGTAGACTTCCTTGGTGATGTTGTAGGCCGTCCATGGCTGCTGCCCAGTTCCCGTCGATGCCGTCTCTTGTGTCGCCTTGGGTTTTCGGACCCTCTTAGGACGCTTCGGCGGGAGCGCTGCTACAATTCCTTCATCACTCGAGGATGCTGCTGCAGCGTGGAGATCGTCTGTTTCTTCATAAATCACGGCATTGTTATGTGTCGGACGTTGATAGCCCTGCTTAGCCACATAATGCGGCTGGGATTGTTTCTCGTTAGCGGCCTTGTCGTCCGTTTGGATGACCAGGTTTGCGCGATCCAGGATAGCCTGGAACGTCGTACTCGTTACCGACTGCCGACCGCAATCCTGCGCACGATCACGAGAAGAACTCGGATCGTTGATTAGGAAAAGTCAAATCGAAGCCTGGGGTGGTCACTATCTTCTGCCACTTGGTTTTCCAATCTCGAGTTGGCATACTTCCTTGAGAGCAGGTGTACACCTCGTTTATGGCCGCCTTCACGACGTTGCGGACCATGAACCGGGTGAACCATAGCTGCTCGAATTCCTTCCACGTGATGTGCGTGTGAAGTTCGGCGATGGTGCATGTGTGGGTAGCCGCTAGATGGTTTATCCATGCCTGCGCTCTTCCAATCAGTTGTAAGTATAACGCCTTCATCAGATAGTCATCCGGGATAGTGCGGCATGATGCTTCCGTGAAGAAACGTTGCCACCATGCCAAAGTGTCCATCTTGTAGTGGTCATCGAACTTGCTGATGTCGAAGTGAGACATCTTGTAGTTCTTCGTAGTGGCATCCGGTTTCGTCTGCAGCTTGGTGATGTCCGTCTTGATGGCGGCCACCGTGCTACTGATCGTGTCCGGCCCATTGAAAACACCTATGTCGCCGATGAGATTGACGACATGATCGATGCGCCCATTGAGCTGCTTCGTTGTGTCTGTCATATCTGGCGTGCAGCCTGGCGCTGCTTGGGGAGGCCTTGCGTCTAAGGTAGCAATGCGTGCATCCAACTGTTTCAACTGGTTGTCCGCGACCTTGACAGCTGCTGCAAGTATCTTTATGCTGTGGCTCAGATCGTGCTGCAGCTACAGTGTGGACCGGGAATGCAGCTCCCCCATGGAGCTGTTCCAAATGACGGCGCGCATTGTATGGAGTAGAATATCTGCTTGGTCGTGCCTCTCTTGCTGTACTGTTGTTGGCTCGCTGTCGGGTGCCAGGATATAACGCATCCCGTTGAGCACCGCTGTCCATTGTGCTTGGTTAGCACTTACAACTTCAGCGCTGCCGGCGTTGAGCTGATCGATCGCCAACTGGTCTGCCTCGGCTTGACGCCGGGTTTGTGTTGTAGCTTCCTCTGCTAGCCGTAGTCTTTCGGCCGCGGCAGCCTCTTGTTGTTCCTTGACTTGGGTGAGTGCGGCTGTATAGTCCTGCATTCTCTGAATGAAGTCCGGGAGGGGCTCATTCGACCCTCGCACCGGACAGACCGGTAAGGGTTCAGCATTACTAGCTGTCCCTGTCCCAAGGATGGACTAAGACACCTAATCAAACAGAAAAAAATAAATTTTCTCGTAAATAATTCCAAAAATTCATAATAAAAAAAATTAATAACGAATGATTTAATTAATAAAATTAATTAATGATTAACACGAAAACATAATTCTTAATGATAATCAATAAACAATCTTTGCAAGAATGATTTCTTAACGATAATCAATTAAAACAATCTTGCAATAATGATAATGAACGAATTTTGAATTGTATGCAGATCAGGTCTCTTTGAGATCAATTTCGGTCCGGGAGTTCACCGGTAATGAGTGAACTATCCGGAAGTTGCAACTTTGGGGGTTAGATGCGGATTAGTTTGCCGAAAAATGTCTCAGAAAAGTTAGGGGAAAACACTCGAATTTTCAAAAACATTAATTTCGGGAATTTCCACCGTCAAAATCCGATTTTTAACGGCCTAAACCCGTTTTCGGAATTTCGCAAAACAAAGGAAAGGAAAAAAAATTCGCGAAAAATTGGGGCCCAACCCTAATTTTCCGCGTTTCGGCGGAATTTTCGGATTTACGGTTCCCAAAACGTTCGAATTTCCCAAGTTGAGCGAAAACCAAATTTTCGTAACCCTACTTTCCACTACTGCGATAAAACGGAAATGCCGATTTGTAAAACGAGATACCGGATTAAAATTCAGAATGCCGAAATAAAAACGGAATACCGAAAGAAATCAGAATGCCAAAATCAACAGAAAATTGATTTAACCCTAATTACGAATTACTAACCAGAAATCTGAATCAACAGAATGTTGGATTAGTATCAATTTATCGGATCCTAATTAAACAGCATACCGACGTAAAACAGAAATCCTAATAGTAATCCCGAATACTGAATTGAAACGGAAATGCAAAAATAAACAGAATACCGAAAAAATAACAAAAAAAATTTGCAACTTTGAACTTGATAGTAATTCAGCGCTAATCCCTAAATCAGTCTTACCTGGTGAGCAGCTCCGTAATTGGTCTGCTCCGATACCAAAACTGTTACATACTTCAATGAGTATGGGCAGAACCAAAGATCAACCAATGTAGGATGAGCATATATGCAACGGAAGTTTGATAAACGGACTGACTCACATAGACTGACTCACATAGACTGACTCAAGAATCACTCCACACATATACAATCGTGAGATGGTGGGGTCTGGGCCAAGCATGGACGATCCCCAGATCCCGTACACACATACACAGATGAAAGGTGGGAGGAGAGACGAAGGAGGTGGGGGAGGTAGACAACACCGGTAGGTCACCGAGATAGAGTCCGATAGGTCACCGATATGGTAGTCCAAAATGTCATCCAACAAGTTCAAAATGTCGAGAACAATCAGTCACCAATGTCAGAGATACAAAGTCCAAATGTAACCGGCGTCCGAACTGTGATGCCGCCAAGTATCAGCCCCAACAATCTCCAAGTCTCCAATCTGGTAAGTACCACAGTCTCATACCACCGAAGTCCAACACTGATCTCTGTCCACTAGTATAAGTCTCCAATCTGAAGAAGAAGAAGAAGGAGAAGAAGAAGAAGAAGATGATGTCTGAAAAGAAGAAGAAGAAGAAGAAGAAGAAGAAGAAGAAGAAGAAGAAGAAGAAGAAGAAGGAGCCGAGGAGGAGAGAGAGAGAGAGAGATGGGACTGGCGAGGGGAGGGAGGAGAGAGGCCTCCAACTCCCGATACCTCAGGCGGCTATGGCCGCCGGCACACTCAGTCGCCGCTGCTGCTGCTCGCTCGCTGCTGCTGCGCTAATGCTGTGCTGCTACTCCTCGCTGATCCTGTGCTAAACTTAGCGCCAACGCCGTATCGCGCTGTACCATACCGTACCGGTAGAATGCCGGTAGGTCGATAGCCTCACTGAGGCTGGACCGGTACTTTTGTACCGGTGGGCGGAGGTCTGTCTCTATGCTGCGAGGCCTGATCGTGCCCTGAACCGTCCAGATGGACGGTTCAGCCTCAACCGGCGGGCGGCAGCCTCAAGAGCGCCGCCAAGCCCAAACGGTAATATCATTTGGGCCGGCCCGTCGGGTCTGGTCCAAGGTAAGGCCTTTACGGCCTGTAGCACCCCCCAAGGTCGGGCCTTCGGCCCTACTGTGTCCCTCTACCCCTACGTTGGGTTCGGTAGGACCCGTGTGGCATCGAAGATGTAACAAGTAACAAAATGCTGCCGAAATTTTTGAAAAATAAAAACTTGTTTGTTTTTCGTTCTCCTTTGATTGACAGTATTTTGAAAGTTAGTGTGTTTTCTTTGTCTTTTCTCTTCTCTTGGCACATCTTGAGCGAATGGGGGATGGGGAAAGGCTGCCGAAAATTCCAAAAAATAAATATTTTTCTTTTTTCAGTTTTATCCATTTTTTATTTGAATTACTTATTTATTTATTTATTTTATTTTTATCTCAAAATTTCACCATTTATTTATTTTTCCTCCCACCTCCCCGTCATCGTTGCTATTTTTTTTTCTTGATTAGGTTGCTGCTACTCCACCCTGACCTCCTCTTACTCCGATTGGGGTTTCCTTAGGGTTTAGGATTCTCCTAGCCCCCTTTTCTTTCCCGACTCCTCCCTTCAAGCAACCTGGATTCAAACGGATCCTCTCCCCTCGACTAGCTTCTCGCCACCATCTTAGGCGCGACCCACCGGTTCCGGAGCAACACGACTCACACTAATAACTATCGCTTCACCCTTACCTAGTTGTGGACCTCTTTCCCCACACAGGAGTTCAACTTCTTCTCCACCTCCCGCCATGTCGACCCCCCTTCCTCTACCGTACACGGACGAGAGTACTTCCAAAGAGATCGCTGCGGTGCCATCCACCTCTCAGGAGCCCGTTCAACCGACAGTCCAAGGTTAGGCCCTTGCTATTTCGCACGGTTCGGAGGACACTTCAGTAAGTATGTCCAAATCAGATTGAAGTTTTGACCCATATTCCTTTTGATGATGCCAGAAGTCGTTTTGATATACAATTTTACCTTATGTTTATTTTATTTCTTATTTTTGGGGCGACTGTTTGAGTCACTGTAAGAACTGCTCATTTGTACAATCAATATGTCAAATTAATGAGATGTTGTAGAAGTCCACAACGAGACAGATACGACTTATTCAACGTCGTTGAAGATACTCATAGTGTGGACCTTCAGACCGCCCTCGCGTTTCTCCTAGTACCTATGCAAGCATGATTCGATGCACTTGCACCCATACAAACGCAACTCAATGTGCTTGCCCTTTACGTCAACCGCCTCAAGGATTACCCTCCTCAGTTCCCCTACCACTCTCATCACAAGCGATTAACGGGGACCCCCACTTTTCGGCCCTGAGTAACCATGAACGATCCTAAAATTAGGGTTTCGGGGTTAAATTTTATGTTTTTTTGGATTTTATGTCTAACAAATTTGGTGTCATTAGGGTTATTAGAATTTGTGTTGTTGATCATCTTGAAAATCCTGAAATTTCGATGATTTTTTTTTTGGCAAAATTGCCTGAAAATGCACTTTTGAGGTGTTGTTTTATGTGTTTACAATTTTTTTTTTTTTTTTTTTTTTTTTTTTATAATATGTTAGTAAGAAGTGCACTCTATACAATGGTGTGGAGTTTGCTTGAAATGGCCTTATGGTTTTCTTATAAATTGAGGTGAAAAATGGGGGGTCGGTTAACCGGCTCTCTGCCATCTCCCACTCGGGTATCCTCTTCGTCTCCTTCTCGGGCGACCCAGCGTACCTTCACTATACTTCCTTTTTTTATTCCATCAGCCCCCTCACTTTGGGATGCCACCTCCCACTCGGGTACCCTCTCCGTCTCCTTCTCGGGCGACCACGTGTACCTTCACTGTACTTCCTTCTTTTATTCCATCAGCCCCACCTCAGGGCAACTCTCAGTTTGGGATGCCACCTCCCGCTCGGGTACCCTCTCTGTCTCCTCCTTAGGCGACCCAACGTACCTTCGGAGTTGTTGCTTTGCAGGTCACCATCGTGGAGGCTCAGGCGGGCATTCTTACCTTGAGACAGCCTCACGGTTTACAAGTTGCTCACCCTTCATCGTCTTCTACCGTTTGTTTCACCTCTATCGTGCAGACTCCTTTCCCTCTACATGCTTTCTCTCCTCTACCTTCTAACCTTACCACTCCATCACAACTATTTGTGATCGTTGCCTTCAAATCTGCTGGTCACTCTCCCGACTGTCATGACTGCACCCATTTTTACACCTGCAACGACCCCGACTTTTTTGTCGACGCAGTGCAGGCAGGCGCCTTAGCCCCTCTCGCCTCACCATTGGCACAGCGGAGCCCCCTTGTCCGGCTCTCGGATACACCGGACTACAATGGCACGGTCCACATATGGCAATGGTTGCAGATAGCCACGCGCACATTGACTTTGATGATTACTTAGAAGATGTGTTATGTGCTTGCAGCCAAATTGCGAGACAACCCTTACGCAATATAGCCATCGCCGTCGCAAGGGTGAGGCTCTCACTTTCACATACTTCACGCTATGT